ATTATATGCTAATTAAGGTTAAAAATGTGTGGGTTAAGTCCATTTTTTTCAAGTTACCATAATTTTTTTTGTGTCACTGAAATTAAACAACACACTTTTAAGTAAAGCATGAGTTGAATTGAATGAAAATATCAACACTTGTGGGATACAACTAAAGTAGTAGAGAGGGAAATTTCTAGAAGTTAGTAATTACATTAAAAAAAGGGAAAGGTCTCAGTATACCCAGAACAAGCCTGTGGAAGAAAATAAGCCTTAAAACAGAAATGAGTGCAGTTTAATACAGAAAACAATAGGCAAAAATCAGTATGGACTAAAGAGCTTGTTATTTGAGAAGATCAGTAAAGTTTGCAAACTTCAAGTACACTGAGAAAGACAAAAGGGAAGAAATACAAATACCCAACATCAGGAATGAAACAGAGGATGTTGCATAGACTGTCAGATATTACAAGTATAGGAGGGAAGTTACCAGGGACTTTTGGGGGCATAACACTTGGAACTTAGTAGATCATTGGTGTCTATACACTGTAGTTTTCATCAGCCTACCAAATGAGCAATTAAGAGCAGACAAGTTTTGTTTTATAAAGATATGGTGGCTCATGTCTGTAAACCCAGCAGGATGATCTTCCTATGTAGCCTGGGCTACATAGTGAGACCCTGTCTCAACAAGCCAAAAATAAATACAGAAATAAAGTAAGTAAATGGGAGAACACCTTTAATGTTTGCTGATCCATTAAATTGGCAGTTTTGGAAAAATAACCTGTCTGTAAAATCACAATATAGAAATGTGAGGAAGAAACAATTTGGACATACCTAATTCCTTCTTATTCTTTAATCCTTGTTTTAGAGCTTTGAAAAGATAAATAGTTTCAGGGTAGATACATATTTAATGTAAAGTGATTGTTTTTTCTATTGGATTGTCTTTTAACTTTGTAAGAGACTAGAGCTTGAACTCTTGTAACTTAAAACCAAGATAAATTTCTACCAGTTGTTCTTTTTCTGTATATCTTTTGAGTGTAGCATTTGTTTATAGTGTATACAAAATCATAAAAGCACAATAGCTGCCTTGCTATATGTGATTTTACAGTATGACCTTCTATTTTGAATTTTGCTAGGAACTTCAAATTGCATTCTGTGATTTCATTTAATATATTTTAGACTATGGCCTTATTATAAAAGCCATTTTCCTTAGAAGGTAAAATGTCTCCCTGTCATTTTTAGTGACAGGTACAAATATAGCATTTAAAAAATTGCTTTTAAGTTCACCTGCAACATTTGTCTGTGCATTAGATTTTGTTCTTTCTTGTAAGTACCTATGGGGATCAGGGTCAAAGTTCAGTAAGGAAGACTATTGTAAGGACGATTGCTGCAAACACTGGATATTCCTTCTGTTGTCACTTTTTCTCCCCTGTACTGGGATTGGACCCAGGGCCTTGTTCTTTGCCTAGGCTGGCCTTGAATTTATGATGTGCTGTCTCTGCCTTCTGAGTAACCGGGTTTACAGGCATATACCACCATGCCTGGCCATGTTACCTTCTTAATTACAGAAAAAAAGCGTCTTTTTTTTTTTTTTCCTGATGCCCAGTTTTATTATTTTTTTTTTGTATTAAATTTGTTTCTACAGGGTTTAGTTCAGGGGTTACAAATCAGAATAATGTTTAATGTATATTCATGAACATATTGGCGGGTGCTTTAGCAGTCCATCCTGCCAATGGTATAAAAGTACTGTAAAACCTAGTAGCATTATCAGCTGACTTTCTCTTTACTCCCTCTTCTACTGAAAGAAGCGCAGGATAGTGAAGGTGAAGCATTGCTTTAGATAGTATGGTGTGCTGGTGGGTGGTGGTCAGAAATAAAGGAAGCTCTTTTCCTTGAAATCCTTAACTACCTCAGGATTTTTTTTGTGTGTGTATATAATATGGGAGGAGGGTGGAAGAGATATTGCATTTGAACTCAGGACCTTGTGCTTGCTAGGCAGATGTCTATTACTTGAGCCAATCCCTCAGTCATTTTTGTGTTTGGTTATTTTTTGAGATGACTTTGATCTCCTATTTGTGCTTCCCTGTGTAGTTGGAGTGACAGATGTATACCACCACATTCAGCTATTGGTTGAGATAGAGGCTCATGAGTTTTTTTGTCCAGGTGTCTTTGAACCATGATCTTCCTGATCTCTGTCTCCTGAGTAGTTAGGATTATAGGCTTGATCCACTGCCTCTGGCCTACCTCAGGTTTTTGTTAGGCATGATCACAACATACAATACCAATACTAAATATATAATTCAAATTTTAAAACAGTATATAAATATAGAGAATTTTTAGTCTTCAAATAAATGAAACATTAGCATTATGAATTACAGCAGAAATGGTTTACTATATCATTCTAAATATTCCCAAATACTGAGTTTTAAAATTGTTGGTATTTTGTTTCACTTAGTTTTTACTATCTTTAATGAATTTTTTATTTGAGCCACAGTTTGTGAAAAGAAAATGTGTCAAATAATCTACAATGGTTGGGGAAGTACCATGGGTAGAATGCTGGCCTAGCATGCTGAAGTCCCCAGGTTTGACTTTCCAGCATCATAAGAAAACCAACAATTTCTTTGAGCTGGTGGTGTACATTTGTGATTCCAGCATGTAGAAGGCACAGACAGGCAGATCAATGATTAGAGGCAGATTGGACTGTACATAGTGAGTTACAGAACAGTCTGGGCTACACAGTGAGACTGTGTTTCAAAAACAGACGAATAACCCCCACATCCCAAAATAAAAAAAACAACTTACTATTCATGGAAAAAAAAAAAACCTTACTTTATTATTAAGTTGATAGTCATTAGGTAATGTGGAGGTTAAATAAGTAGAGGATTTCTCTTATTACCAAATAGGGATATTGTATATAGGGCTGAATCCTTCCCTCTCTTAGCTTCTAAGAGCGATGACTTTCAATTTTTTTCAATACTTAAATTAATTAGGCCCTAGAAGTAGGACTTAAGTGTAGTTGTACTTAAGAATGGGCATTCCTTTGTTGGGCTGGCTAGGTTGAATACTAGTTCTGCCAATACTGAATATAGGATGGTGCATGATGTCTGGATGGGATGATTTTGGAATGACTTGTGCAAGAACACAAGTCAGAATGGATGCCATTTATGAGTGGAGCAGGGTCCTTTAGGTCCCTTTTTATATGAGAAACTATCTCCTTACTTGTTGAATTATGAGTGTTCTGAGGAGTGGCCTGGGCAGTGGAGAAGACAAGTGAGGTGCTTTGGGCAGCAGTGAGTTACCAACCACAGGGAAAACACTGAGTTTGTCAGTAATATATGTGTGCTGGTGCATGCTGGCTGCTCATCAGTTCTAGTTACATGTTAGGCAAGCAATGTGGGAAATTTCATTGGCAAGATCTTTGATTAATCTGCCCATGCATCACTTAGAGTATCTCCCATTTGATAAAATTTTGCATCTCTTATCAACTGATTTCTTATTCTGTTCCTTATGTTCATCCTGTTGTATCCATCTTCTGCATGAAACATCCGAATATTACTTGGCAATGTTAAAGTATTAATAATCTAGGACTGATTGATGTCACATAATTAGTGATTTAGTCACAAGTAGGATGCGTGAAGAGCATCTTTGGAAAACAAAGTATTGCACATTTGAATTTCCCTAAAGTTTCTTTGTGGTATTTATATAGCATCACTTACCTTGCTAAGGAGCTTATTATTTTTATTTGATTTGCCTATTGTATTAGGTTCCTGGAGCAGCCATACAAAGTACCACCAACTAGCTGGCTTTAAACAACAGATACTGTCTCACATTTCTGAAAGCTAGAAGTTAGAAATCAAAATGTTAGCAGAGTTGGTTCTTTCTGAGGGCTGTGGAGGAAAATCTGCTCGATGCCTCTCTCCTAGCTTCTGGTATTTTGTTGGTAGTCTTTGGAATTCCTTGGCTTATAGAAACATGGCTCTAATCTATGCTTTCATTTTCACACAGTGTTCTTTCTGTGTCTCTTCACATAGTTTTCTCGCTGTTCACGCATCTAAATTTCCCCTTTCTCTATAAGGATACCAGCCATATTGGATTAGGGCTCACTTCAGTGACCTCATCTTACTTCACTATGCCTGCATAGACCCTGTTTCCAAAGAAGAGCACTTTCTGAAGTACTATGGACTAGGACTTCAGTGTATCTTTTTTTGGACGGGTTAGGGGGAGGATGAAGTGGGGGAACACAATTGAGCCCACGACACCAATATGAAGAAAAAAATGCTTGTTATTTGCATGGGAGAAATTTGAGGATCTCTGCCACATTGGTTTTTATTGTTACTAGCTAAAATATCTGAAAATTTTCTTAAATTATGAGTTTATTTTTCTAAATTCTATAATTTACAATGGGGATTAGTCATATTTTCTTTAGGTACACTTCATGCCTTGTGAAAGTATTCGTGATTTTGACATTTTGATGTAATTAAATGATGATGATGCATGACAGTTTGAGTCTAAATACTACAGATATTGTATTTATTTCTTTGTAGTAGACCTCCTGTTAATGTTTGTCTAGTTGAGCATGTTGGATTCCTTTATTGTACTTCTTCCTGAGGCAATCATTAAAGTTTTATTTTCGGAAAGCTTCTACTTCCCGCAAGATTATGAGAATATGGTCTTATACATAGTGTTATAATGAGCCAGATTAAATTCCTATTGTCATAAAAAATTTTTTTTGGGGGGTAGGTACCGGGATTTGAACTTGGGGCCTTGTGCTTGCTGAGCAGGTAGTGCTCTACCATTTGAGCCACACCCCAGCCCATCAATTCTCTATTAGACTTGTACATTTACTTTGGATCTTGCTTGAAATTCTTATGTTATGCAGTATTCACAAATGATTACAGATAGTCTCTAAAAAATCAGAGATGTCTCTACTTTTTAATGAAAATAATTGCGAAAATATTAGATGTTGCATAAACATTCCCTCTAGACATTTATAGTATTCTAATTGTGTAAACATGTTTGTACAGGTTTTAACTGGATCATCTCGTCATCCTTATTCACCTTCTGGCTTTCAGGATTTCAGTAAGTGGGAATCAGTGCTGAAAATTAAAGAAGGACTTCTAAGGCAGAAAGAAATTGTAATTGATCGGTGAGTCTGTTTTTTAATTACTAAATATTTCAGGCATATCAAAATGCACATTAATGAAGCAAATGCCTTTGCATCCTCTACTTATAAATACATTGATGCCACGCGTCTGCTCCTCTCCAACCCCAGTCCTTTCATGACCTATCAGAATGAGAGCTGGTTTGTCTTTCTGTCTGATTTCCATCATCTTCATTCACTTTAATGTAACTCATTGTTTAGACTGTCCTCTGTTTTTTCTGCACATGTAGCAGGTTAACTGTAATGCTAACATGCTGTCAGAGCCACAAAATGGTGTCTTTGTGGTATGTTTATATTTTTTTACCTTCAGAGTGTATCAAATTGGGAAACTACTTTAAAGTAGTGGTTTCCTTTAACTAATGAATGTTAGGTCTGAAGCCACATAAGCTATGAAAATAACGAATGTTTAGAATAACTTACAGTAAGAATTATGAAATCTTTGGAAATGTCCAAACTTTTTTATGTTTGAGTACCAAAGCTCTCAAAAAGCAGTTAATTTACAATTAATAGGCAGTCTCCTGATTATTCTGAACAGTAAACATTGACATATATTTGCTGTACATCATCTATATGTACTTTTGGGATAATGTGGTGCACATTTTGGTAATTGGAAATAGGTTGAGGAGGACTTTCCCTTAATGCTAATTATTGCTTATTTTTGTGTGCTTATATTGGATAAAGAGTAGATGTTTTAGTCTTGAAATTTAATCCTAATTCATTAGTTGAAGTTTCAAAAGGTTTTGTTTAGAAATTTAGCAATACCAAACAAGATCTATTGGAATATAAATGGCTATAGACATCTGGACTTTCTTTTTCTCTACTGTGTTCCTAATACCTTGGACATATCCTAAGATGTCATATATGCTTAAAACTTGATTCTTCCATACCAGATAAATGAGTGACAATTGTAGAAGGTATTTTTAATTGATTTTAGGAAAAAGCTATTTAAAAATACGAACTGGTTAGTCATGGTGGCACAGGCTGTAATCCCAGAAGTTGAGAGCCTGAGGAAGGAGGATTGCCAGTTTGAGGCCAACACTAGCTACAGAGTGAGTTCCAAGGCCAGCCTGAGGTACACAATAGGAATCTATTTTAGGAATGAATGGAGGGAGGGAAGGAAGGAAAAGAGAGGGGAAGTGGGGAGGGGAGAGATGGAAAGGAGGTAAGAGAAGGTAGGAGAGGAGGGAAGGAAGAAGAGGAGGGGAGGGGAGGGGAAGAGGAGGGAAGGAAAGGAAAGGAGGAAGGAAGAAAATATTTCTAGATAAAATAAAAACATTAACATTTCTAGTATGGGTGAGTCTTACACACAAATAAATTATATCCTAGTTAGATATGTATTTGTAGCACTTACGATTTAATTTACTGTACATACTTGAAATTAAAACTTTTTTAAACAGACTAAAATTCAGAACTTATTAATATGGAACAATCAGAATCAGCTTTTATTATTGCTTAAATACTGTTTCATCAGGTATATCAATGGGAAATGCAGGTGGTTATTGATACACTCTTAAATTTTTTTAATCAATTGTGTATATATTGTAGAAGGAGGGATAATCAGAATAATAAGTTCTTCATTTGGCCAATTTTTCAACTAGGCTCCTCCATGCATCTATGGGAGTTGAATATCAGGTGGGGGCTGGTTGGCCTAGGATGGTTTCAGCCAAATGGCTTGGTTTTATTCCATGTAGTCTAACATTCTCCAGCAGGCTAACCTGTGTCTGTTCACCTTGTGGCTGGATGAGTTGTAAGTTAGGATGAAACATACAAAGGCTTAGGCTTAGAGGTGGCCACACATCACTTCCATTATGTTTTCTTGGTCACAAGTATAGTAGTAGACATTGCCTCTAGACTAAAGTAGGAACAGTAAAATCACATGGTACAGGGATGCCAATAATACAAGGAGGATAAGCATGGTGGGCATTTTTGTATTTTCTTCTTGGTTTTGCAAATTTATTATAGCATTTTTTATAATGATACATTTACTACTGTAAAAAGCAGTGGAAGAGAAACCAGCAGCCAGCAGCTTTTGCTTCTAAAGCAACATAACCAGCATTTCAAAAAAAAAAACACATGTACAAAATCTCTGTAATATATAGTACTTAAAATTTGAATTAAATATATAATATTTGGGGGGGCATAAATTAGACTAATGATGTTTAAAATGTTGATGATACTTGCAGACGCTATTTCAGGAATAGAATTGATAGGTTTAGCATCCAGTAGAATGGAACCCAAGGTAAGGATGCTCAGCTTTTTACTTTGGGGTATAGTTGATGTTGCCTTTCAAGTCACTTTACTAAAAATTATATGATGGATATTATTTTTGAAAATATCAAGGTAGCCACAATTACATGAGAAAAATGTGACTTTTCACTCTGCAAGTATTATTTGATAGCATGTGGCTAGATAATTAAGAATAATAACTTCCATGGTAACTGTGTTCTTAAATGTGCCTTATCTCTTGAAAAAGAATATATAGACTAATTTTAAGAAGAACTCAGAAAATCGGTAAGCCTGGTTTCTCATATTTATATATTTGCTGCTATATTTATGTGATTTTGAGTAAAGTTCTTGACTTTTTGATCCTTGCTCTACTTATCTGCCAAGGTAAAGGAGTTTCACCACATAAACAAAAATGAAGTTAGTTTGAGGATCACTGTACTAGGCAACTCCCTTCTTCCATTTTTATAGCATGAAGATTAAATGAATGAGTGTAATGTTAAAAACCTTAATATATTGCTTAAAGCATACTAGCCATCAGCAAAGTGAAAGTCACATACACATTCATGTTTAGTATTTATAACTATGTTTGCATGCATCTCTCCTAGATAGATTCTGAGCTCCCTCACAGAAGAGATCCTTGTCAGTTTCCTAGATCATAGTAGGTATTCACCATATCTTCATTCAGAGAAAGTAGACTCACTTAAATAGAAAAGAGGTCAAAGTTACTGATTTATCAGTGCTCTTATAATGGTTTACACTTTCAAATTGCTCAGCTTTTGCCATTGAGTTGATCAAATAAAGTATAAGAGTAAGTCAATGCACTTGAGACTGATCCACAGAGAGACCAGTATAACTCTTATGGAGACAACCAAATTAGTGCTATTAATAAATGAACTTGGTAGTGTAGAGAACTTTCATTTTGTCATGTTTACAATTTGTAGTATATGTATTTCTTACTTAATTATATGTAGAGGCAAACCACATTATTGTGCTAGGTAGGCACAAAACATTACTGTGGATGCCTTTTTATTAAATACATAATATCTTAATTCATCTGTTTTATGTAGAATTTATTAGAGTTTTTACTCTTTTGATTAACATGTTTTTATTCTTATTTTTTTTTTTAACCTTAATGATACTGGGGATTGACCTCAGGGCCTTGCGCATGCTAGGCAAGCACTCTACTGCCTAAGTCAAACCCCTCCCTAGTCCTATTTATTAGTGTATATTAACTGTGCAGAGTAAAAGGTTTCATTGTTGTCTTTTCATGCGTGCATGTAATATACTTTGATCATATTCACCACCTCTGTCACTCTTGCTTATCCTTTCTCCCCCTTTTAGTTTTTACAATGTTAATGGATTTCATGATGACAGTTTCATACATGCATAAATGTTTACACACTCCTGGTCACTCACTCTTTCCTTGCTCCCCTCCACTTGTTTTCCCCACAAAAGTCCCTACTTTTATGTGCATAGCATTTTTTTAAGATCCACATATTTGCCTTCCTGAGTCTTGCTTATATTGCTTAACATGATGTTCTCTGTTCAGTTCCATGTTTCCTAGAAATGACATAATTTTATTTTTTATTACTGAATAAGACTCCATTGTATAAATATACCACGTTTTCTTTATCCAGGCATCTGTTGATGGACACCTAAGCTGATTCCTTAACTGGGCTATTGTGAATAGTGCTGTAGTAAACATGGGTGTGTAATATCTTTACAGTATGCTGACTTACTCCTTTGGGTATATGTCTAGGGTGATAGAACTATTTGATAGGTCTGTTTTTAGTTTTTTGAGGACCCTCTGTATGAATTTCCCTAGTACATCTTAGCTAACTTAGAGTCATACCAAAAGTGCAGAAGGGTTTCAAGGATTTCCTTTTCTCTGCATCCTCACCAGCATTTGTTGTTTGTTTTCCTTGATAACTATGATTGGTTTCAGATGCAATCTCAATGTCATTTTAATTTTTTATTTCATACATGGCTAAGGATATTGAGCATTTCTTCATGTATTTATTGACCATTTCAGTTTCCATTTATGATTATTAAGGAGTATTTGGTGATTCCTATATCTTTTTTTTTCCTATTGATCTGAGTACTATTTGTTCTTTTCTTTCTCCTTTGTTCATCTTAGGAGTTTGTTGGTTTAATGAGTTGAATGCTTCATTCTTTCCTCCTTATCATTTATTCCTCTCATGAAGTTTATTCTTTACTTAACTGTCATGTTCGTGACTATCTTTGTCAGCAGTGTATAGATTCCTTTTAAGTATCTTCTGCAGTGATAGCTAAGTTTTTGCTAAGTGGCAGGTCTTTATTTCTTCATAGGTTTTAAAAGATGTAATCTTGGTTGCCAGTTACTTACTTTAGAGCCCGAAATATATCATTCCATGTTTTCCTGGCTTTTACCATTTTTTCTGAGAGGTGAATGTAATGCTGATGAGTTTGCCTTTGTAAATAAGTTGCTGCTTTTCTGTTGCAGTTTTCAGTAGTCTTGGTGTTTTAGCCATAATGTGACATGGAGAGGTTCTTTTCTGGTTGTGGCTTTGGCATTCTAAATGCCTCCTGTAATTGCATCTTTCCGAATATTTAAAATTTTTCTAATGTATAATTTCATTCATGTTTTTTTAAGCCTTGTATTCCAGTTCCTTCTTCTACCCCATGAATTTTTAGGTTTGGTCTCTTGATCATATCACAAGAGTTCATGAAAGTTGTGGTAATACTTGTTTTTGTTGTTGTTTTATTTTTTTCTTTATTGCTATTTGTATGTAATATTTCCTCAATTTTGCTCTGATATTCTACTTCTGCTTGTTCTAGTCTCTTGTATTTTTCAATTTTATCTATTGAGTTTTTCATCTTCAAAATTTTCCCCTATCCCCAATCTCAACTTCCTTGCTGAATTTCCTATCCATATCCAACTTGACTTTTTCATCCAGGTCTTGAGTTGATTTCCTTACTTAATTCATCTGTTTGAATCTTCTTTGAGGTCACTGAACATTTCTTAAGTTAAATCTTTGAAATTTTTGTGCAGCATTTCAGGCATTTCCGTATGTTTTGATTTGGTGATTTAGGAGTTATGAGCTTTTGGAGGAGTCATATTATCTTGTTTTTTTCATATTTTTCGTGTTTCTAAGTTGTAAATTGACCATCCATTGGAATGCACATCCCTTCTGATTTTATTCAGAAGATTTGTTATTGAGCAGCTTTTGTGCAACTTTCTCTTGAAGCCCTATTCTAATACCATACAGAAGAAAACAAACCACTGTAACAGGAACAACACTGTTCAGGCCGCTGCTGCTTGTGGACTGAGGGCCAGGCCAGACAAGTGTCATTTGTCAACTTCAGGGCTACATTGACTTTAGAAGCTTCCCTTCTTTGCCTACCCAGAGCTGTTTTTGGCTCCGATGAATTTTGTAGCCCGTGGGCTTGGCAGCTTCCCACTCACTCCAGACCCCTCCAGTTTGTTCACCCATGGGCAGCAAGTATACAAGCCTATGTGTGTCCCCTGAGTGTATCAGAAAATGGGGAGAGCAGACAGATTGAGATCAGCACTGCACGGGGAAAATCAAGGGAACCAGCCTTCTACTTGCTGATCTCAGAACTTTCAGATCCTGCCTAGCAGTAAATCACCCTGTGGGAGGGAGGAGACTGGACAAATAGAGTGATCTTCTAAAGCTGGGCTTAGAGCTTTCAGTCCCACATGGCAACAAACCACACTCAGGAGGAAGGGCTCAGCCTAGGAGCTATCAGTCTCTGTGGTTATCTCTGTGGGACTTAGTATTACCCACTGCCCCCTTTAACAGCTTGGACTCTGTGCTTCCCAAACTTCTCAGCAGGTCTGTTTCTGCCTCTTCTCCCCATAACCCAGTCCTTGTGGTTATCTCCCAACGAGACACTATGGGAAGTTGTCCTCAGGTTACTTGACTTGTGATTGTTCCTGTTTTCAGGGACCCAGGGTAGCTCAGTCTCAAACATTAGACTCTCTCTCAAGATGGCACCTGGCTTTCTGAGTTAGGGGAGTGACAACATGAATTTCTTCTCCGGTATTGTCTTGTCACTCAGGAGTCATCATGGATGGTCACACCAAATCCCTGCACTGGATTTAACCCTTATGAGAAATGTGGGCATATCTGTTGGCTAGGACTACCAGTCTGTTGTCACTGGGGCTGCTTGGCCTCACCTTGTAGTTCTGGCTTCTGCTCCCCCCAACCACCGGGAGTCAAGGTTGGAGCTGTGGAGCTTTTCTGTTTCTCTGGCTTTTCAGCTGTCCTATCACCTCTTTGTTAATTCTCAATGTTTTTCCTTTCTTTCTCTCCTTAGAGTGTAGTCTTTCGTTACCCTGGACTTTCTCATTAGAGTCACATGGAGGAAGCTTCTATTCTGCCATATTACCTCAGTGGTCTCATAATTAGAATTCTTAAAAGAGCCCTATCTATATATATCATGGTTATTAAAAGTATTTCAAACTCCACAGATTTAGTTAATTATAATAGGTTATTTTTATTTCTTCATTTATTTTTGGAAGTACTTGGGTCTGTACTAAGGGCCTTGTACTTGCTTAGACAAATGCTCTACTACTTAAGCCACATCTCCTATTTACAACTCTCATGTAGATGAGATGACAGGCATGCATTACACTAGGCTCAACTTATTGGCTGAGACGGAGTCATGCTAACTTTTTGTTGTTAGGCTCTTCTGTATGCTTTGCCTCGCCCTATCAGTTTCAGAATCAACTTGTCAGTTTCTACAAATATGCTGTAAGTCTCCATTGATTTAGGTGTTTTGTTTTCTTTCAGCAGTAGTTTATAGTTTTCAGCATACACATTTAGAACACCTTTTGATATATTTCTTCAGAAATATTTCTGGGTTTTGATATTACTGTAAATAGTATTTAAAAAATTTCCATGTCTCATGTTTGTTTCAAACATATAGAAATAAAAATAGCCTATAACTTTGGTAACCTCACTTATTAGTTATAGTAGGCTTTTTTTTTCCCTGTAAATTCAATATGATTTCCTACATAGATGGTCATAATGGATGTGATTAAGGGTAGTTTTACTTTGTTCTTGTTAACATGGATTCTCTTTATTTTTCTTGCCTTATTGAATTGTTAGAACTTCCAGTGCAAAGTTGAATAGATGTAGTGAGAGTGAGCATCTTTTCCCTTGTTCTTCATTTTCAGGAAAAAGTCCTCAGTCTCTCATCACGAGATATTATGTTAGCTGTAAGTTTTTTGTAGAAAGCATTTTTTAGATGTGAAAATTTCTTCTGTTTCTAAGTAGCTGATCAAATTTCAGATGTAAAACCTATTTCAAAATTCTTAAAATAGAGCTTACTTTGTCATGATGTATTTTCCTTTTTATGTATGTTTGGAATCAATTTTGTAACTTTTGTTAAGAATTTTTACATTTATATTTATAAAAGATAATCATTTGTGGTTTTTTTTTTCTTTGTGTCTCTATCTTATTTGGGTATTCATAATACTGTCCTCATAGGAAATATTGGGAAGTATTCCCTCATTGTGTTTTTGGTTTAGATGTTCTTGGTTATCTTTGGAATCTAGACCTAAGAAAAGCAGAATGACAGGTGTGTAAAATAGGGAGACTGTTCGAATATGGGCCCATCGGAAGGAGGAATGTCAAAAGGAGAAAGTGCATTGGGGGAGAATATGATAAAAAGTACTTCATATGCACATATGAGCATAGGATAAGAAAACCCATTCAAATTTTTTAAAGGGAGGGAGAGGAGATAAAGAGTAGTAGGGATGAATTTGATGAATGGAATGAATGTATGGAAATATAACAAAGAAACCTCTTTGTATAATTAATATATACTAATAACAAAAAGTAATAGCATTCCAGAGTAAGGGAATAAATTTATGACATTATGTAACATGCAAAAAGAAAGCGAAGCATGACTTTGTTAGAATTTAAGAAGAGTCTACAAAAGACTACCATCTATAAAATATAAGCAATACATGTAATTACTACAATATAAGTAAACACTGTAATTCCACATATTTCATGGAATTGTGGTTTGTGAAAAAATTCCTAGTATGTTATCTAAAATTGATGATACTTTTAAATGCTTATGTGAAATTATTATAAATTGAAAGTTCTGCTTATGTTGATTTCTAGAAAAGTATATTCTTTACAGTGTGAGCTCAATTCATGTTTTCTAGGCAGAAACAACAAATTACTCACCTACACGAGCGGATAAGGGATAATGAACTACGGGCGCAACATGCCATGTTAGGACGTTATGCAAATTGTGAAGATTCTTATGTGACAAGTTTGCAGGTAAGGCACAGAAGAGTTTGTAATTTTTGCTTAATAGTAAATCTTCTGTTAATAATAGGCTTAGGTTATAAAATTAGGGTATTTTAAATCAAAGTTTTGAATACATGGTATTTTCAGTGGTTCTTATTTATATGTGTGGTAGAAACTGCCCATCTACTGTCTTTTTTCTTTCCAGTTCATACCTCCTGCCACAGGAACTACTGTTGTCCATTTCCAGCTAGCCTTTTTGCCACAGAAACTACTGTTGTCCATTTCCAGCTAGCCTTACAGAGTTGATGCCTATCATAAGCAGATAAAAATGTATTTTACACCTATACATTTGTAAAAATCAGATTATATGCTTTGTTTAGCACCTTGTTTTTTCTGTTATATAAAATGCAATAATGGTTTCCGTACATTGGTTTATATACATAGATATAATGATATCTATGTATCATTACATAGATAGCACCACTTTGCTTTTACAGATATACAAGCTTCCATTTTGTAGAGATAGCATAATTTATCAAACCTGTCTCCCACTGACTAAAATTTGGGTTGTTTCCTATTTGGGACAATTATGAATAATGATGTGAAGAATAACTATATAAACATTATTTTGCTTATATTCAAGTATCTTTGTAAGTTAAATTTCCCAAAATGAAATTTGTTAGTGTTGTATGAGTTTGTAACTTTTATTGATATTGACAAACTGCCATCCAGGAGAACAGAGTATATAGATTCCCCCTTTCCCTGTCTGTAACTTCCAGGCATACTAACAGTGTGTCATCAAACTTTGGCAGTTTTGCTCTTCTAGTAGATTTATATTGATGGCAGGAAATGGGGGTCGTTATTTGCCTATGGCTTTAATACATATTTCTCTTTAAGACTATTGTTGGGCTTCCTTTTACATAATGAAAGCCCATTTCTTTTTCTGTAAATTGTCTTTTCATGTACTTAGACTATTTTTCTGTTAAGTTTTGGGCTTTTCCTTACTGTTCTTAGAAGCCCGTCATATGTTAAGTAAAAAGTAGCCTTTTATCTGAATTTGACTTAAAAACACTTTTCTCTAAATTTGTCATAATATTTTCTTTTTTTTGGATTATAAAAAATATTTTGGAATATCTCTATCCTTTTTGCTTTAATATTAATAATTAAATATCAGAAAGGTCATTAGCTATTATATATCTAATAATTGAGATAAAAGATGCTTTCCATTTATTCTTGGAGCAGTGATTAATCATAAAAATATTATGTCTACAAGTTTATAAAGTAGCAAATAGAGAATTATATTTAGTAGCAGTATTCCAAAATATGTTTTTCAAAATTTTATATATGTTTTGAGATGTGATCAAGAAGAATTTTGACTTATCCTAAAACAAAATTAGATATTTTGTTTTAGTTTTATATGTAGGTATTAGTGGTTTAAGAATATCTAGAACAGGATTGGAGGTGTGGCTCAAGTGATAGAGAGCTTATCTCACAAGTGTGAAGCCTTCTGGAACAAAATAATGGAGGTATATTTCTATTATAACATTTCATAATTTCTATTCATATAATATTTATTTTCTCTTGTACTTTTTTCTACCATAAACTTTCTCGATTTGTAATGAATATCTTATAAATTAAAGAGTTGCACCCTTACAAGTGAGCCCATGTAGGAAAACAGTTACTAAATATCCACTGTGCTAAACTCTGAGGTCACAAAAGTGATGAATTTCTTTCTTCATGGATCTCAGAACTTAGAGGGAGAGATCATATGAGAAGCCTTATCTATCATTCCTTCTAAATGCACTCATTATGTGTAAGGCAGTACGTAGGCTCTTGGCATAGAAACGTGGATAAGGTTAGATTTGTCCATAAAGAGAGTACAGTGCAATGGGAACACAGACATGGGATCTTGGGGCCTTAAAATTTGAATGGCCAAAAGGACTAATTTCTTCAATTATTAGTTTTCCTCTAAAGAGTTTTCATTAAGATTTATTTGTTTTTCTATATAAGCTTTAGAATTGGATTTCTTATTTATAAAGGGAAAAAGAACCCCCAAGAGCACTGTTGGTCTTTGTGTTGGGAGTAAAAGCAAGGCCTGATAAGTTTGTGGTGATGTATACTTCTATCTGTGGAATTTTTTTTTTCTCTTTTTTTTATTCTTAGATTTAAAAAAATAATCTGAAGTGTGATTTTTTTCCTTCATTGTATCTTCATATGTGTTATTTATAAATACTGAAGGCATTGGACATTAAAACCGGGAGGTATTGAAAAACAAATGATTAGATTTATTGAGGATAAGGTATCTGACATAGAGACTAAGGCTTGCTTTTCATACCAGTATATCAAAATGCTTCATTATCATATGATCTTATCTATAACTTTCATCATATAATAGCAAGGCTGAGTGGTACAGCACTGAGATGTATGATGTAGCTTTGGAAATGGTATTTTTTTTCTCTATAACTAGTATAATTTTCTTGGAGAACAGTGGTTTTAATAGAACCATTTTCTTCTTATAACTTTGTCTTTCTGACAAAATGTTTTCTTTGAATTATACAATTATTATATTACTGAAAGCATGTAAAAAATAGGTATCTGAAAGCTGAAGAAAAAATTTTGGCACAGTATCAGACCAGTAGATGGCTCTCCAAGTCAATCTGCAAGGTCAGATAAAACTATCTGGAAGGATATGGACAAGGGGTTGCTAAAATACTTGATTTTGAATTATGTGAAAAATTGAAATGTTGAAAAATTTTGATGAAAAATATCAGGACAGTTTATAAAGGGAGTACAAAGGTGCTCTTTTTTGCGAGATGCACTTCCTCCTTTTGTGAATTCAGATCTTGGCCAGCCATCTTGCCTCCTGTCCAACTGAAGGTAAACCCTCCATCACAGAGTTCTCCCTATATCATCTCAACACTTATCAGACATCCTGGATATCTGCTTTGATTAGTGGGATAACCACATTTTGACTGTGAGGGGCTTTTTTTGTTGTTGTTTTTGGTGGGACTGGGGTTTGAACTCAGAGCCTCATGTTTGCTAGGTATATACTCTGCCACTGTATTTTTGTGTTGGTTACTTCTTTTTATTGGTTTGGGGTGGTGTCGGCACCGGGGTTTGAACTCAGGGCCTCACACTTCATAGGCAGGTGCTCTACCACTTGAGCCACTTTGCCAGTTCTTATGTTGGTTATTTTTGAGATAGGGTGTCTCGAACTATTTGCCTGAGATGGCTTTGAACCATGAGTCTCCTGATCTCTGCCTCCCGAGTAGCTAGGATTATGAGTGTGAGCCACTGGCACCCTGCTCAGGTCTTACATTTTTGTGCAAGGCTGGCCTTGGATTGCAGTCCTCTTACTCCTCCTGTATAACTGGGACTGAAGTTACTCACTAACCATGCCCAAGGTTTATTTGTTGAGATAGGGTCTCTAACCTTTTGCCTGGGCTAACCTCTAACCACACTCTTCCTGATCTCTATCACCCAAGTAGACGGGATTATAGTAGTGAGCCATCATTCCTGGTTCCCCATTCATGTGATTTCTAACAAATTTATAATAATGATATGTGGCCGATATTTAGTAACACATTAAAATAATATCATGCATCATGGATATATCCACCATTTTGGTATTACACATAGTAGTTTTACTGTCACACTAAGAATCTTCTGCTCTTCCTGTTCAGCTCTCTCTTGGTAACCTCTGGCAATGAATGATCTTTTATTGTCTCCATACCTTTGCCTTTCCCTGAGTGTCACGTGACTGGAACATACAGTAATGCTACTCGGCCTGTTTCTTTCACTGTTTCAGACTGGTTTCTTTCACTTACTAATATGCACAGCTTCTCATGGTGTGATAATTCATTTCTCTTTAGTGCTAGTAAATTTTCTTCTAAGCATCACTTTATTCGAATCTTATAATTTTCGATAAATTATAATTCCATTTTCCTTTAGTTGAAAATATTTTTACATTTCTCTTATTATTTAGAGGTGTCTTGTATAATCTTTTAAGCATTTTGGAATTTCCCAGCTATCTTTCTGCTTTTGATTTTTAGTTTAATTGTGCTGTGTTCTGAGAGCAGACATTGGGTGACTTCTTATCCTTAAAATTATTAAGGTGCGTTTTATGACCCAGAATGTTGTTTTTCTCCTTGAGTATTTCAGAGGAACTTGAGAAGCAGGTGGTGCTGCTGAATGAGTAGTCTGTAGATGTCACCTTGCTGACACATTTCCTGTGTCCTTGTCTGCCTTTTGGCTCTGTATGTTTCTGATAAAGGTTGTTAAAAATCTCCAACTATAGCTGGGTATGGTGGTACATGCTTGTAATCCCAGCATTTGGGAGTCTGAGGCAGGAGAATCTTGAGTTCAGGGCCAGCCTAGGTTATACAGTGAGTTCAAGACCAGCCTGGCCTGTATAGGAAAACTCTGTCTCAAAAACCAAAACCAAAAAAACTTTCAACCACTGTAGTGGGTTTACCTATTTCTCCCTGCATTTCTATCACTTTCTTCTCATTACTTTGACACTCTGTTTTGCATACAACTTAAAGACTGTTTCATCATCATAGAAGATTTCCCCCTTCATTATTCACTAATAACTTTGCTTGCTCTGATGTCTGCTTTTTGTGAAATTGAAACTTTCTTTTGAGTAGTGTTAGTTTGGTATATCTTTTCCATCCCTGTGTGCCTTTATGTTTAATACGGGTTTCTCATAGAGTAAGTAGTTTGGTGGGCTTTGCTGTTTTGATCCACTCTGACAATCTCTACCTTAAAAATGGCCCATTTAGCTGGTCATAGTGGCTCACGCCTATAATCCCATCTAGTCAGGAGTTGTACATTGGGAGGATTATGGTTCGAGGCCAGCCCAGGCAAAAAGTTAGCAAGACTGCATCTCAAGCAATAAGCTGTAGGTGTGTGCCTGTGATCCCACTACAAGGGAGGCCATATGTAGGAGGATAGTGGTCTGAGGTCAGCCCAGACAAAATTTTGAGACATTCTCTGAAAAATAACTAAAACAAAAAGGGCTGGGCCATGGCAGAAGTGGTTGAGCACCTGCTTAGCAAATGCAAGACCTTGAGTTCAAACTTGCTGCCAATTAATGTGTAGATCTTCAGAGTGATTTATGGATGTAGCTCAGATAATATCTACCATATTTGTTGGTGTTCTCTATTTGTTGTCCTTGTTCTTCCTTTTTTTGTCTTCCAGATTTTCTGTCTTTCGTCATTTTAATTGAGCATTTTATATGAATCCTTTTTCCTTTATTTATAATTTTAATTATCACTTTTTTACTTTCTTTAGTGGTTGCCCTCAAATTTTGCATATACATTTGCACTAATCTAAGTCCACTGCCAAATAACCCTGTTAGTAAGTGTGGTTAGTAGCTGCTGCTGAGTCATAATAAGGTATTGGAGGAAGGAAATATTCTGTAGTTTCATGATTAGGCTAAGTCTTGTGGAGGGCTTGTTCCTTTAGATTGTGAACGTCACAGGATTTTCTTTCCTTTCCTTCCAAGGAACGAGATGGCTGGAATGGGCCAGAGTTGTGTGTGAACCTTCTTCTTGTGGAAGGCTCTAGTTGGCTAGAGTTGGGTGTTTTTCCTTACAACTACATTAGGCCCTGATAGTTTAGTTTGTAGTAAAATAGTGTCTCCTGAGAGCAGCACCTTCAAGAAAAGCAGAATATTCTGGCATATTTAAAAATGCTTCCTTTTCTAACACCCTCTGCTAGATGCAGGTGTGAGGACCTTGTAGAACTAAACATAAAACTTAGAAAGTAATTCTCAAAATTTGCCCACGCTGAGCCTCTATCATTTCATCGGTTATAGCTGAGATTTTCCTGTGCCAGCTCTGGTGCCCATGGAGCTTTCTGCTTGTGAATTTTTTTTCCTTCTCCATTAACTTAGGATTCTTGTTATGATTGTCCTTATTCATGTTTCTGTAGTTTTAAGGCCAGAAATTTTGCCCTATGACCTCTCTTCTATGACAGATCTTAAGAAGGTTGGTATTTCAGTTTATTCACCTGTTTTACTTTTTGTGAGGATAGAGTGGTGGCTTCTAACCTTCTTACATGTTGGACCGCACACCAAAAGTCTGTATTAATTTTTTATAGTTTCCTAACCTATCTACCCTTCTGAGTTCTATATCTATCTCCCAAACTGCCTGATATTCTCCTCTGCTGTAAATAATATCAGTAGGCTCTAATTGTAATTACGTACATTATGCTTAAACCTGTCCTCCTCTATGATCTACCTGTCTCTGCCAGAATATAATCTTCCTTGCTATTTAGTCTCAAAACCTTTGTTATTCAGTAGTTCATTCACATCATAAGCAATTATTTTTTTCAAAATCCTCTTACTTCCGGGATTTCTCCATTCTGTTCTCTGTTCTGTTTTAGCTTCTCCTCCTTCTTCTACTTCTTCTTTTCTTTTAAGGGAAGAAAGATTTATTTTGGCTCAGCTCTTTTCAGCTCAGTTAATTAGAATAATTTTAAGTGCTGCATCCATTTACATTCTAAGTGTGTCTTCTACTTCATCCTATTCACTGCTTTTGGTTTTACCACTTTTGCTCTAGTACTCTTTCTCTTTTTCTCCCCTCTTTCCTCTCTTCTCTTTCCTTTAATCAAAGCTTTTTGAGTTGCTAGGCATCAGGCTAAATGACAAGGAATTCAGAGATTTTTCCAAAGTTTACAGTTCTCTTAGTCATGTTATTTTCTTTAAAACCATCAGTGTCTTATCATTTCTTATAAATTAAGGTTGAACTCAAACTTGAGATTCTACAAAAGGTTCAAACATAGGTTTTAAGTTTTTTTCCTTCTGTTTCTCCACCTCTGTTCTAAACAGAAGTGTATACTTTCAGCATGTGCTCTGTCTTGCCTTTATTTAATGTCCTTTCCAGGATGTCTTTCTTCCTTTCTCTGTTCTTGGTAAAATCCTATTTTTCAAAATATATTTTAAAAGCCAATATCCCAGTAAAGCCTTTAAATTTTCTTCATTTACCCTCTCATACTTTGTACTTAATATGGCCTGTATTTGCCTTACCTTATTATATTGTTTCTTACATTATAATTATCTAAGGCCTCCTCTTATATCTCTGATTAAAATTTAAGTTCATAAAGGCTAATGCCAGAATCTTCCATGTTTGAAATGCTTTGCATATGATATTATTTACATTTATATATTTTATATAAATTTATATATTGAATTTCATTCCTACCTTTTGTGAAAGCATTACTTCTTCAAGGCATAATTCAAGTTCACTTTTGTAAAACATTCTCATAACTACTACACATACAGCTATCATGTCACTTTAAGTTTTCGTGGCTTTGGGGGGGTCTTTTTTGTGACAATTCCATTAAACTAGTGGGACCTTGTTTACTAAGTGTAAACTCTTAACATATTGCCTAACATATGTGTTTGATAAATGCTTGTTAAATAAATAGATATAAGTAATCCTTTGCTTTCACAATACTTTCTTACATTTTGATTTGCCTAAGGAATATGTGTATTTCCTGCTTACCCCCTCCAGTTTGGAAACCCTGTGGAGGAAAGGGGTTGGGGTTGCTCTTCCCCTTCAATAGAATTTCCATCAAAGCATTGTTCATGGAAGCAATAATACATTGTTTTCATTCAGCAATTAGATTTTGAGCACTTAATTTCTGCCAGACATTGTTTAGATAATAGGAGCAGGAGAGCATATTAAGAAGGACAAATATCCCTGATTTCATGGACCTTACTTTCTAATTAGGGAAATATTCTATTAATTATTATTGAATTTAATACTAGATGGAAATGATCACCTGTGAAGAAATTTTTCATTGGTTTTTATTACTTTCCCTAAAACGTTTACATTTAAAAAATGAGTATATGTAATGTACTATTATATTTTCTAGGTATACTTTTGAGCCAAATAATAATACTTTTATCTAAGCTTCTGATGTGTGCTAGGAGCTTGCATAGTATGTCTCTCTTCCTCAAGAAAAAAAAAGCTGCAAAATAGGTCTTATTTCTGTTTCATAAATGAGCAAACCAATACTTAGTGATAATAAGTAATTTACTTTTAATCATGATACATATCTAGGAAGCAGGAGAGCTGAGATTTAATACAAGTCCTCTCTGTTGCTAAGGTTTGTATGTATGCTTTGCATTACAACTCATTTCTAATTTCTTTTCATTTGTTTAAAAGAAGTAAATTTTAAAGTCTTACCTGCTTTATTCCCCAATAGCCACAGTATGAGAACACTTCACTCCAGACTCCATTTTTAGAGCAGTCAGTGTCCCTACCTCAGCAAGAGGACCTTGAGCAAAAGCTTATGTCTACTGAGAAAGAAGTTATACAGCTCAATGAGTTTTTCAAACAGAGAATAAACCAACTTAGTGAAGAAAAGAAAAAACTAGAGGAAAAGGTAGGTATATTTCATAAAGTTATATTAGATCAACAACATCCCTTCAACATAGAATGTCTGTCATTTACCTTGTGTGAGGTGCCATACCAGATTATACATTTATATGGAAGTGATTTGCATTGTAGCAATTCTTGAGAAACCCTGTGCTGTCTGCAGAAATCTAAGGATTTTCTTGAGGGATAAAAAGACATCTCTATATTGTACCTTTTTAGTAGTGACACCTTCTTAAGTCAATTACCTGCATCCTATAACTGTTTTCCTTTTCCTTATTGAGGTTCTCATTCCCTCTTTCTTTGTATCGTTGAGCATAAAGGATTGGAAAATGAAATTAAACTGATCTTTTGTTCATAAGAATATTACTTAAATCCAGCTGAATCCCTGATTCAGAATAAGTAGCTAAAAGTCAAATACATACACTCATTCACACACTACACACACACTTGTGTGTGTGTCTATAGTCACATTTATTTGATGTTTCTGCTTTTATTAAAAGTATTTTCACTGCAGGAGTAGCTATACTTATACCTAACAAGGTAGACTTCAAGTCAAAATTAGAAGAGATAAAGTCACTACATACTAATAAAGAGAACAGTCCATCAGGAAGTTATAGTGATTGTAAGTATATATGTTCCAAATGTTTCTGCACTCAATTTTATAAAGCAAACACCACGGGACATAAAAGAACAACTCTCACCAGATAGAATAGTAGTTGGTGACTTCCATACCACCCTCTCTGATAGAACTGGAAAAAATCTTTGTAACTATTCATCAGACAAAGAATAAAGAGCTCTAAAAATTAAACATCCAAAGAACAAATAATCCCACTAATAATAATTGAATAGACAGTTCTCAAAAGAAGTACAAATGGCTTTTGAAATGTATTTATTTCATGTACAAATAAATAAATGAAAAATGTTCAATGTCCTTAGCAATAATAGAAATCCAAATCAAAACGACACTGAGATTCCACCCCACCCTAGTCAGATTAGCCATCATCAAGAAAACAAATGCCAAATGCCAACGTCTCACACCTGCAATCTTAATTACATGAGAGGCTGCAATTAGTAGATTTGAGGTTTGAGGCCAGCCTGGACAAATAGTTCACAAGACCCTACCCCCATCTCCCCCAAATGGACTGGAAGTGTGACTGAAAGGGTAGAGCACCTGCTTGAAAGCCTGAAGCCCTCAGTTCAGACCTTGCTACAACAACAAAAAACCAAACACAACCCCACCCCCACACACAAATACTGGCAAGGATGTGGGGAAGGGTGAGATGGGGGGGTGGAACCCTTATACACTGTAATATAAGTTAGTCCAGCCACTGTGGAAATCAGTATGAAAGTTCTTCAAGAATCTAAAAGTAGATCTACCATATATGGACATATATCTAAAGGAATATAAATCAACATACAAGGGAGATACCGGCATATCCATGTTTATAGCAGCAGCACTAATTCAGGAGCCAAGCTTTGAGACCATCTTAGGTGCCCAACAACCAATGATTGGATAAAGAAAAACGTGGCACAAAAACCCTTTGGAGTATTATTCAGCCATAAAAAGAATGAAATTATGCCATTTGTAGGCAAATGGATGAAATTTATCTCATGTTGAGATAAACCAAGCTTAGAAAAGCTAATATTACAAATTTTCACATGCAGAATCTAGACCTAAAAACAATTGATAATATGGTATGATTGTAAAAGGAGAACTGTTTGATGGGGAACCAGCAGGTGGGAGGAAAGAAAAAGGAAATGGTGGTGGGGAGATGAATATTACAGGACTGCATTATAAATGAAAATAGCACAATGAAATCTACCACAAACTGTTAAACAGGAGGAATAAGAGGGGAGGCTAATGTAAAATGGGGTGAGTTTGATCAAAGTATATTGTATGCTTGTTGTAACTATTACAATGAAACCCCTTTTTTATGCTAACTAAAAAAATCTTAAGTTCAGCCTGTACAGATTGGCATTTAGTGAGATCATGTGTTGTGTGGGTTCTGTAGTAGAGATTTATTAACACTAGTCATCAATCCTATAGTGACATCAGTGGTAAAGCATCTTTTTTTATGGTTTTAAAAAAAACACAGTGCATTAACAGTAGTCTTGCTAGAGGTGTTAATTGGTCTCACAAGTCCCTTACCTGTTCCTAAATGTTTGGTAAGCTCTCCTGGCTTTGGTTGCATTGCTTAGTACATGATAAGCAATTCCTTTGCAAGTTTTTATAGTAACAAAACAGCTTTAATTATTTGTTAAATATCTTCTTTAGTTCATATGAAGCATTTGGATATATTTTTGCAAAAAAAAATAAGAAATTGCAGTCCTTCCTCCAGAGATGAATATTTGCTTCACTCATTTCAAAAATACAGAAGAGGCTTTGTTTCTATGCATTTCTGGGTACCCAGTAATGTTTTTCAATAGCAAGTTATAGTGAAACATTTCTGAAGTTATTTTAAATGTCATTTGAACTCAAAATAAACATAACACTATTGAATTAAAAAATATGAACAATCTTATCCAAATTTATGTACAGGCAGTAAAAACTACATCAGTACTGCTACTTAGCTGACTGCAGTTTATAAAATGCCATCGGTTATAAAAGCAAACCAATACCCTCCAAGCTCTTTATTTCAGTGATATTAAAATTTTAAAAATATGAATCTTAGAATGAAATAGGCAAATCTTAATTGAGTTCATTATCTTCACTGTGACCTGGGAACTAGTGATGAATTTGATGATGCCCATGATTAAAATGTTGGTGTTTTTTTCTTTTAATGATTCAAAACTACTGGGACTCTTTTATTTAGCTTAAAACCAGAGATAGATACATAAGTAGCCTGAAAAAGAAATGCCAGAAGGAATCTGAACAAAGCAAAGAAAAGCAGAGAAGAATTGAGACCTTGGAAAAATATCTGGCTGATCTTCCAACTCTCGATGATGTACAAAGTCAGAGTCTACAGGTAATGTAAAATAAAATGCTCGTCTTTTAAATGCCATGAGAGCATGTTATTTTTAAGCGATTCTTGAGAAATCTGGCTAATTATAGGTGTTTAATTATTAAATACTATTTTCAAGATTAAACTTGAATCAGAAATTTTGTTCATTTAACCATGAATAAATTTCTTGCTAATGTGATTACCTTTCTAATAAACTTACATTAATTTTAGAAAATTAACTATCTAAAAGGTAGTTTCTAGATCATTCTGATAACACTGCCACTTACACATACATTCATGTGCCCCAGTTCTGGCTTTCTCCAGTATTCTCTGAGATTCAAGTGTCCTCAAGACCTTTTGATAAGTATTTTCTGTATGTTCAATTTACTTTCTTTATTTGTCTTATACTGTCCATAGTTTTTTCCTTATATCTTGATTTGTGACCTCTATTTACTCTTCTAGCTTCTCTTCTGACTATTTTCCTTTCTTAACAGCATCTCATCCAAAGTCTTTCCATCAACTCTGGTGAAGCTTACTCTCTTGAAATCTTACTTATTAAGTTCATCAAGTCTACTCTTCAGTGTTTTCTTAAGTCTTTCTAATCCAGGGATTCTCAACCTCAACTCTGTTGGCATTTGGGGGCATGAAATTTTTTGTTATAGAGGTCTGCTCTGTGCTTTGAAGGATGCACATTTCTTGTAATCAGACCTTCCTGGCCTCTATCAATTAGATGCTAATACTTCTTTTCTCCCAAACCAAAAATGTTAACAGACATTTCTAAAACTCCTATGGAGGTAAAAACCATTCCCAGCCGAAAATGGTTGGTCTAATTCATGAGTTGTCATTTTTTATACTTTAAGATCAATTCTAAGATTCCTTGTTTATTTTATATTAATTTATAAAACCAAGAGAAGTTAAAGTCAGGAAGGAGCTTAAGAACGATAGGAGATTGCATGAGTAGGAACAGATTGCAACAGATTTTTAAAAATCATGCGATCATCTACCACCTCATACCTATTTGGAATGAAAATACGAGAATTGCTGGAGGCATGACTCGAATTGTGGAGTGCCTGCCTAGCAAAAATGAAGCCCTGAGTTCAAAACCCAGTACCCCCCTCCCCCCAAAAAAGCCTTCAATGGATGGTCTTCCACCCTGTTTGTAATAGCAGTTACAATAATTGAAAGATGGAGCCAATGTAATGGAGCCATGGGTGAACAAAAAGTGTTTGTTCATAAATGAACAAAAAGTGGAACTGTATGCAATGGAATTGTATTCAGCCTTAGAAAGGAAGACAATTCTGACACATTCTGCAGACAGATTAATCAGGAGAACATTTCAGTAAGTGAAATAAGCCTGTGACAGAAAAGACAAATACTGTATGATTCTAGAAGTCCAAAAGCAGTCAAATGATAGAGGCAGAAAGTAGAAGGGTGGTTTTCAGGGAATAGGGTGAGGAGTAGATGGGGAGTTGTTTAGAGTAGAATTCTGGAGATTTGTTGAAAGCATTGTGGATGTTCTTAACACTACTGAACTATACATGTAGAAATGGTTAGGGTAGTAAATTTTATTTACATTTTACCACAATTAATAAAAAAAATAAAAATTTTATCATTAATCTTCTCTGTCTTCTAAAGATGTTTTACTCCATTCCCTTCTTATCTCCCAACTTTATTTTACACAAAGGAAGAGCTAGTGTTAAATACTCTAGATGAAATGAAGATAGAGTGATTTTAGCAATAAGTTTATAAATCCTTAAAAATAGTAGTAATTTTTAATAGGAACATATTTAACATTCCATGTATTGTAAACTGTAAAAATTTCTCCTTAGCTGCAGGTTCTGGAAGAAAAAAATAAGAATTTGCAAGAGACATTGATAGATACAGAAAAAAAGCTTGAAGAGATCCAAAAACAATGTCAAGATAAAGAAGCACAGCTAATATGCCAGAAAAAGAAAGAAAAGGAGTTAGTAACTTCTGTTCAAAGGTAAGAAAATCTTCCATATCTTTTTTATGTTATTTTTAAGTTATTCATGTTTCCATAAAGTATTTCACTTTAAAATACATTAATAATTATTTTATTATTTTCCTTAAAGATGTATAATTTCATTGAAACCTTGCTTCAGTTATTGTATACCATTTTGAAGTAACCTACCAACATCTTGTCAAAAGTTTTAGATGAGATTCTTAAAAAATGAACAAACAAGGAAAAAAATGGCAATTGCAGGCTGAAAATATTAATACAGACCCTTTATCTGGTGGCTGTGACAAAAACCTATGTAAAGTTTTTAAATAACAAAAGAGGGACCAGCAAAATATTCACACTGTACTTCTTCAGAGGATGTGTCGAGGGGGAAGCAATGGGCTCTCATTTCACCTTACTTTGAGTAGTAGATAACAGCAGTTTTGCTACCTACCTTCCAGATTTACTCATATATCTTACCTCATAGGACTCTTCTCTTTTAAATTAATACAGTTAGCAATACAGTGATTATGTTGGTATATTCAGGTTGTATGTTTATGATTGGAAATTAATAGTGGATTGCTGAAAAACCTAGATAACTTTAGATACATAAACTTATATTCTCTTGCCTATAAAATTTAAACCTTAATATTTTTAACTATAAATAGATAAAACTGTCCTTAAGAGGTCAAGTATGGTGGCTCAAGCCTATTATCCCAACACTTGGGAAACAAACATCAAGAGGATCAAGGTTTGAGGCCAACTTGGCCAAAAAGTTCATGAGATCTCATCTCAACCAATTGCTGGGTACAGAGGTACCATGCCTGTCATCCTAGCTACACAGGAGAAGCACAAATAGGAAGATGCCTGGGTGTAAAGGAGTGTGTACCTCAAAAATAACCAACTCAAAAAATGGCTAGAGGAATGACTTAAGTGATGGAGTGGGAGTACTTGCCTAGCAAGTGTGAAGTCCTCTGTACCATCAAAAATAAACAAAACCAAAACAAGCAAACAAAAAAACCCAACTATCCTGAATAAGAAAGCAGTTTGAAAAAAAAAAAAAGTAGGAACTGCACACTTCATGTTCATGTCAATTATAAACTCAATGGATTCAGTTTCTAAGTCAAAATTCATCAGATACCGTATTCCATGTTAACACTGCTTTACTGCTATTTCAAAGTCTTAAATATACCTGGTCTGCTTTTTTTTTTTTTTTCTTGTATTTCAATGCAGAAAATCTCTATAATTTCTGGGCTAATTCAATCTTTAGTGTTTCTGGTGCCAGCTCCCCAAACAATTATTGTTTGTTCTATTTTTTCTTCTTTATTGCGCTTTAGTTTCCCTTTTCCATAACTTTGCATCTCATTATTTAATCTCAAAACAACTTCCTAATCTTTAGTATTTCAATCATACGTTTTCATCTTTATTGATAAAATGAAAAGAAGCAATGTATTTGTTTTGTCTTATAGAGCACTGTGATCATAAGCTTAAGCTGTGTGGTTTAAGAACAGAATAAGCAATCCCTGAAAAGTTGGATCATGTTTCTTTCCTTTGTTTGCTTTTACATATTTATATGATAGTATACCTTCTCTTTTATTTAGACTTTTTAAATTAAGTATTTAGAAAATACCAAGCCTAGTATGCTTGATTTGGAAAGATTTAGTTTAGTACATTTCAGAAAACAGTTTCTAGTTTCAGATAGTATCATGATACTATCTGAAATATCATCCTAGAAAATTTATCTTCTGCTCAAATACATTTAAAGAACCAAAGAAGTCTTTTTATAATTCTTCAGTATTTGTATAGCTGTGGTATCACTTAACTTTAGGAGATGGGGGTGGTATTTAAGTTTTCTTGGCTATAGACTATTTCTTGAATGCCAAAAGAACTTCAAGATAATATGTGTCTGGGCACTGGTGGCTCACGCCTGTAATCCTAGTTACTCAGGAGATGATCAAGAGGATCCGTTCAAAGCCAGACCGGGCAAATAGTTCTAAAGACCCTAACTCAAAAATACCCTGCACAGAAAAGGGCTGGTGGAGTGGCTCAAGCTGTAGAGCATCTGCCTAGCAGCACGAGGTCCTGAATTTAAACCTTAGTTTCACCACCACCACCCAAAAAAAAAAAATTTTTTTTTAAAGTATATACTATTACATTTACCTGCCTTATATGTTTCTAAGCTTCTTGCTTTATGATTCTTGAGAACTTTTAAGAATTCATAAATTAAAAACTTTCCATTAGACATGAAAATTCAACTAAAATATGTAGAAACCATTGGTTTCTCTCTTACAAGAGTTTAATTACATTATCTGAACGTGTACTTGTGAAAGAAATTTATTGGTATTTTACTGTGACAATATATTCCCCCCTCTTCTTTGCTGGCTCATTTTTAAAAAATTTTAAGATCTTTAATTTTTTCAATTATATTACTGTTGTACTTGGGGGTACACTGTGACATTTACAAACGTTCTTACAATATATTGTAGTTGAATTCACCTCGTCAATCATTCTCCTTTATCCTCCCTCCTCCCATGCCTGGAATAGTTTCTACAGGTCTAATTTTCCCATTTTCATACATGAGTACATAGTATTTCCACTGCATTCTACGCCCTTTCCTCATATCCTTCCCCTTTCCACCCCCCCACTGGTACCACCTGTTTTATCTTCTTGGTCTCCAATTTTGAAAAAAAAAAAAAAGACACTTTTTGTTTAAAATAGCTATACACTTTACCTTTCTTGAGGTGCTATAAGTACATGGAAGATAGTGTCTTGGTACTGAATTGAGAAAGCACTTTTTCCTGAAATAGAAATAGTTTATTTTTCACTTACAGGCTGAAAAATCAGATACTTTTATGACAAGTAACAAATCAATACACTGCATTGGTTATACATAAAATGGAGCCATTATTTATAAACGGCTTAAGCCCTTACTCTACCATCTAATACTGTTAATTCTTTGTCCACCATCTAAATACAACCTTACTTCTTCTTTTTGAAGAGAGAAAAAGCTTTGGATAGCATAATACTTCGGAATAGTAAAACAGCAAAAATACCAAAACCCAAATTATAAGAAATCTTTCTTTTCGTACTATGTAACTCTTGAGAATAATTATAAGCTAAAAAAAGAGCTATTCCTAGGTTTCTTGAAGCTGCTACTGTTTTGGTTTTGGCCTTGGTCATTATTGTTAACGATAGGGTTTGTTTCAGCCCAAACATTACTATTCTTCCTTTCTCAAGGTTTGTACCTCCTCCCCTTATACTTTCGTTTTTAATGTGCCAAAGGGCTTCCTTTCGTTGTTTCCTGTCTGTCATAGACAGCAGGAAAAATTGTTGGGTGGAGTTAAAGACATTGTAGTTTGCTGTTCTTGTTAATGAAGGAAAAATTCTTCTGGGATAGGTAGCAAGAGTCTTTACAAGCAAACTTTTGCCAAGCTTAGAATCAAGGACAAAGATGTGTATCTATGTTTTTAGTCTCTTCTTTTAGGGAAGAATCAAAGAATGGAGTTAGATTACAGAGCTCACACAGGATAATGAAGGACTTTACTGGGGTCCAAAGATAACACTGCTAAGCAACTCTGGTCTCAAATTTATCATTTCTGAGAAGAAGTTAATTATGGATCTTTCTTACCTGTATAAACTATAGATAAACTTATTCATGTGGTTCTTGATTATTCTTCTTGAATGTGGTTCTTGATTATTGCTTGATTAATAAATATTAGAAACCCTAAGAAGGGACATTATCAACCCAAATTAACAAATAGAACTGTTTTCTTCATATAATTATGTTTTTCTAAAACAAACAGTTTACAGCAAAAAGTAGAAAAATGCCTTGAAGATGGAATCCGCCTTCCCATGTTAGATGCAAAACAGCTTCAGAATGAAAATGATAATCTCAGAGAACAAAATGAGGCTGCTAGTAAGGTCAGTAAATACCTTTGATGATAAACATAAAATCTATACTGTGTGGATATGTGTGTGCAGATATATAAGATATAGCTACGTCTGTGATCTATAATTTTGCTGATATTTAATAGCTTATGAAGTTTTTAGTTTGAATGCTTTTATATGGAAATAAAATAGCAATTTAACCAAATGTAAATGATTTAAATTTAAATTAAAGCCAAAACAAAAGGATACCTTTTTCTTTCCTAAATTATTGACAGTCTATCTCAAAGTTATTTTTATAAATTGCAGAGAAAAATTTAATTAAAGACTACAGGAAGGCTTTTGCAATTTTATATGTGTGGTCCAAATCATCTTGCTATTTAAAGGATACATACTATGAGTACTTTTCTAAAATAAAAAAAAAAACTTAATAGATTTTTAATTCCTTATGCTTTCCTTTGTTTTCTTGAAATATTGGTACTTTTAGAAAGCATTGAAAAAAATGAGTTAATTTAGATTGATTTTATTTCCTATGTTTTAGATAATAGACAGTCAACAAGATGAAATGAACAGAATGATATTAGAAATTCAGGTAAGCTATACTTTGTACTTATTTTAATTCAGCTATATGCTGATTTCTCTTATTGCTTATATAACCTAAAAGTATTAAGGCACAGTTTTATTTGTATGAAAAAGTAATATTAATAGTACTTGAGTTGATGTTACAAATTCCTTAATATTAATTTTTCAGTTGCTTAGAAGAAAATTCTGTTTGGTAAATCAGTTCTTCAAAAATTATGGATTGTTCTGTATTCCTTGCTTCTCCCTCTCTTTAATTAGATATAGTTTATCTCCACTATTGAGAATGCATTTGGTTTAAGTCATTAGTGATCATCTAATAGTAGCTAGCAGGCTATGGACTGTGTTTAGTCCACTTGTTACTTGATCTTCATATGTTATTTCCATCTGGAAACACATTCACTGCCCACTCTGTCTTTCTTAAGTTCTTTCCCTTCATTAGATTTTCTTTGGAGTTCTATGAGCTGTACTTCTCTGCCCCATCCCTTAAATATTGTTATCCTCCAAATATTTCTCTGTATTCTTTCTAGAATTCTGTTAAGATCCCTATTATCAATCTGTGTCTTTTCTTTTCACTGGTTTTCTCTGTTTTCCAGTTATGCTTCCTCCACTATCTTGTCTTCAATTGCTAATTCTTTAAAGCTGCCTAGTTTTTCCTCACCTGCTTACATAAAAGATGGCTAACCTTATAACTATGTAGATTATGTTCTTCCCAAATGCTGTAGCTGTTTTCAAATTTCTTCAAATTCCTTCACAAAGCCAAAGTAACACAAAATACTATGTAATTAAGGATAGCAGAGAGCTTACCCCCCACCATGCACATGTGAATAAATGAATAAAAAATTTTTTTAAAAACCCATAAATTACACATTTTGGGCTGGGTACCTGTGGCTCACAGCTTTAATCCTAGCTGCTTGGGAGGTTGAAATTAGGAGGATCTCGATTCAAGGCCAGCCTGGGCAAGTAGTTCACTAGATCCCATCTCCAACATAACCAGAGCAAAAAAATGGACTGGAGGTATAGTTCGCTAGATTCTTTCTCCAAAATAAACAAAGCAAAACTGGACTGGAGGTGTAGCTGAAGCAGTAGAGTACCTGCTTTTTAAGTGTAAAGCCCTGAGTTCAAATTCTAGTCCCACCAAAAAAAAAAGGAAAAATTATGTATTTTGTTTATCATGATAGTATTAATTATAAAATTTCACTTCATTATAGTTTGAATGCTCTTTTTTCCTCACAGTAGTGGGACATTGTACTTTTTTTAAAAATTTTTTTGGTGTTTAGTGGACGAAGAAAACTTAGTGTTATTAGCATTTCATTTTTTACTGCTTCTTTATGCCCCTGCAAACTACTTAGAAGAACAAATTTATTCAAAGATCATTGAACTGATTTGGATTACTGCATTGCTTTGTCTCTAAGCAAGTTATTCTGACACTTAAAATTTATTTCCCAAAGAGAAAAATAAAATCCAGTGCCATGTATATTTTATGCCTAACTTATAGGTGATAAAAATAAGACATTGGTCGGGCGCTGGTGGCTAACACCTTCAATCCTAGCTTTGAGAGGGTGGGGAAGAAGTTAACAAGACTCCTTCTCAGCCAATAGCTGGGCATCTTGGCATATGCTTGCCATCCTAAGCTACACAGAAGAGCACAGTTCTAGGCCAGCTGGGGCAAAAAAAGTTCATGAGACCCCCATCTCAACAGAAAAAAAGCTGGGTGAGGTGGTATATACCTGCCATCCCAGCTATAGAAAAAAGTGTAAAGTAAGAGGATCACAGTCCAGGTTGGCCTAGGCAAAAAAATGAGACCCTGCCTCCAAAATAATCTGAGCAAAAGGGGCTAGAGACATGGCTGAAGTGGTAGATTTCCTGTTAGGCAAACACGAAGCCACATTCAAACCCCAGTACCACCAGAGTTTCATAGAGAAAATCCTGTGTTTAAAATACAACTATGTTTTATTACTTCACACCAGAATTCAAGTAAATGCTTACCTGGTATAGTTCACTGGCAGGTTTGAGTCACAGCTTTGGAAGTTGGGAAAAAATAATCTTCTATTTGTAAATACTGTGTTTGTTGTTGAATACAGAAAAAGTAGTATTTCGTGTAAAAGTATATGCTAAATTTGAAATTTAGTTGAATCCTATAAAATACAAATTTATCTACTATTTTATTCAACTGTCCAGGTGATTATGTAAGTTGGTACAAATACTTTGTTTACTCATTGACCTTTTAGAAATTTGCTTTCATTATATCTATGAAACCAGTAAAGCTATGCTGTTTTTCCTATAAGTTTTTTCTTCTCTCTTCTACAATACTAAATGACATTTTTCAGTAGACCATTGTCCATCATTTTCATAAATGTGGCTCAGTGTGATTGAGTTCTTCATTGAGCATTATCTTTCTTCCTATTTATTTCTCAAAAGCAAAGCACAGTTCACCTTCCTAACCCTGTTTCTAGTTAGTTGACTGATATCATTGTATTTTATATTTGTAATCTTTTGGCAGAGGAGCAATTGTGAAAAAAAGTTTCAGTTGTATTTACCTGTTTTTCTCTCACATTAAAATGTTTCCTCATCAGAGGAACTTGCACATTTAAATGGCATTTCTGAATGATTATGAAACTATAAAAGAGAGAATGATACCTTGGAGGTCATAAAGGCTGTTTAATCTTCCAGGCATGATTGGAACCACCAGTCTCAAAACTGTTGGCAGCCTGTCCTGTTTATAATATATCAAGAGAAGATGTTCTACAATCTCAGAAGGTTCTATTCCAATTTTTAGCACATTTCATAAAGCCTTCATCTGGTAGATTTTCTCAGTAGAAATAGTGAGAAAATGGGTCATAAGCCAATAGAATGTCTTACAGGTAGAACTTCTTTAAACTAAATAAATATCAGTTCTTCAATGTTTTCCCGTTGTTATTGTGTGGTATTTATCCTTCTATATTGTTGTCTTAATTTTGTGATGTGTCCAAAAGTTCTTTCTTCCTAAAGCTTAATTTTTAAAACAACTATGTGAAATTGGTTTATGTTGCATGAAAAACTAAAACTACTCTTACCAGATACTAGCATTAGTTTTTCAAAAATCTACCAGCCAAATTATGCCTTTATAAAAAAAAAAAAAAAGAGGACTTATTAAAAAAAATGTGCTCTTTCCTAGTCTTTGTGCTTATAAGGAGGCCATTGTACGTTATTCACCTATTGTATGTACATAATAATTTTGCATAATTAATGTCTGCCAGAAAGGAATTATAAAAGGTGGACTTGACTTTTTAAAATCATTTCTTTGTGTTGGGATGGGGATTGGAAGGTTCTCTGAATCTTGAAAGAATGTCGTTGGGCCTGTTTATACTGAGTGGTCACCATATTTGTATGGATATACAGATTATTTGGGATACTTTTAAAAAGTAAAATATGTAGTAGTGCAATTATTGGTTCCTCTGCTTTCAAGAAACTTAATTACTTTTTGATATGAGCATACTATATCAACTGAACATACATAGAGAAAGAAAACTTCCTTGGTATTTTACTATGACACAGTGTACTTTACCCTCTTTATTTCTGGCCCTCCTTAAGAAAAAAAAAGGAAGAATTTAATTTTATAAAGTACTTTATCTGTCTTAAGATGTTACAAGTACACGAAAGGTGGTATCTTGGCACTGAATTGGGAATGAACTTGTTCCAAAATAAAAAGTTTATTTTTCACATAGACACCAAAAATGCAGATAATTTTATGACAAGTAACAATGTATTATGAATCAGTACACTACATTGGTGATACATAAAAATATCTCTGGTGCCATTGTTTATAAACGTGTCTGAAGCCCATTTCTACCATCTAGTACTATCAGTTCTTTGTCCATGATCTAAATATGGACTTTATTTCTTCATTTGGAAGAGAAAAACTGCTTTGGATAGCCAACAGACTTATATGCAATCAGGGCCCCAATATTCAGTGGTCTAAACCCAAAGTATAGCCTCCATCCCGTGTGGGGATATCAGTGGAAGAAAGGAGCTCTACCTCTTGGCTACACTGACCTGAACCAACCTCAGCTACAGAGAGCTGGGGGTAGAAGGATAACTGTTGATGGTCTGTCTCTTTTGGAAGATAGCCCTTCACGTGAGAGCTGGTGGGGGTGGGGGAGGGTGGTGGCAGGAAGTCTGGAATGGGATTTCCATCTTGATGAGCTGTGAGGGTAGACATTTTGTTTCACACAGCATGGTCTCTTGCTTTTCTTACTGAGTTTTAGTAGATTTTCTTGAATTTGTGTTTCTTCATTTTCTGTATGCTCGTAGGACTATTTCCAGGAAATTTAAATGTTTTCTTTTATAACATTCACCTATTGTGCTTGGGAGCAGGTCTACAGAGTTCCTCATGCTGCTATTGTTTTTAAACATATACCAGATTACAAGAGGGGACCTGACTTAAGAAGGGAATTAGAGCTCTATACTGTCTTAGTTTTTTTCTTTTTTGTTGGTTTGTTTTGTTTTGTTTTTGGTTTTTGGAGGGCCAGTACTGGGTTTTGAATTCAGAGCCTCATAATTGCTAGGCAGGTGTTCTACCACTTGAGCCTAGCCCCAGCCCATGTCTTAGATTCTTAAACAGAAAACTTACTGGTACTTACTTGTGATTGAACTCAAGGGCCTCACGCTTGCTAGGCTTGCTAGGCAGGTGCTCTACCACTGGAGCCACTCCGTCAGCCCTAAAAACACTACTTTTTATGATATTTGCACATTCCTTATTTATTTATTTTAGGTTGTATAAATATTTGGGAAATTTTCCCTATCTCTGTCCAGAGGAATAAGGATTTGCTCACACTTGAGCCCACGTGAAAAGTAAGAGCCTCTGGTGCCAAGTGCAGTGTTCATTGTTAGTGAAATGTGATTATGATGATATTACATGCTATAGGAGCTCTGCTTTCTGGTTCATATTTGTTATCTCTAAACTTCAGTAATTTCACAAGATAACAAACCATGTTTATATATACAAAAGAGGGGAGCTTTAGAGATGTATCC